ATGTAGATAAGTAGCTTAATAAAAAGTGCATCTAGCTTTATCCGTTATTATTTACAAATTTATTCATATTTTAGAATTAAACCCCATTAAATTTATATGTGCTCGACTTTCCATGGATACTTCTAAAGCGAGTTAGAACATTCACACCATGCAATGTCTTGAAATGTAGCCTCATTTCCATCTCTTAAACTTTAAAAATAAACTAATATTTCAGTGCTGTCTAAGCAAAGTTAACAGATATGTTAAGTCTAGCACTATTATTTTTTACATGCTTATTGTAGTTTTATATTGATTTAATTTATTAGAAATTTTAAATGAGTAACGGAGAAACATTAACACATCTACAGTAAAAAAAATTGATTATTAGTAACACATAATAATCCTATCGATCTGAAGTCAATTACATTTTTTTTCAGAAGAAAAGTTAATTACATTTCCAAAGTCAAAGAAGAAGCATAGAAAGCGGTAATCCAACATGGTAACCAATTAACCAATTCGCAAAACTCAAAGATAATTAGATTAATTAGGCAACTTGACCAAAGTCGCTGCAAAATGGGAATTATCACATTAATTTACTGTGTGTCGGTAGACAAACGATGGGCTTAAATTATAAACCATGATATAGCGGAACCAAGTATTATTTTTATTAATTTACTAATGCTGTTATAGATTTAATTATTATTATAGATAATATTCATAATAATGGTATTAATGTGTTCTTCGTACGTTCCAAACAATACCTTTTTTTCCCCTTGAAAGCCACTGAGGCCCGAGGATAGTAATATAAACGAATTTGCAAATCACTCCTTTATTTCGAGGAAATTCAAACATACATTTTAGACACCACCTCGAGCCTTTAACTTATTGAAGTAATTGATATCAATATGATCATTGTATGTATAACCATTATGTAATTTATGTTCCTGGAGAAAGTTTTAGTCAATAACTATTCTTATCCTTTAATACAATATGTCAATATATAACAAATCCTCATTGGTATTTTTAGATCTCATGGTTGAAAATGTTTATTACCAACATAAAGTTTAAGAATTAAGAGTAGACCTCATATTAGTGCAATATTTTGTCAACACGAAAAAGTACCAATTTACGCTGATTTGTTATTGTTCTAAAGGATAATAACAATTATTGATTCAAAAGCCATTTATTTCCTGCTGTTTTATTGATGGTAGTTGGTACTAATTGATTAAAAAAAAAAGGTAGTATTACAATAAAAACATTTGACTAAGTAAAGAGGGGACAAGTCAGTAAGCATCATTTATAAAAGAGAAGAATTAAGAGGCACTATCAGTTTATTTATCAAAGGCCAAATAAAAGAGGAATCAATAAATTATCGAATTTGTTCAAAGTAGATGGGTACAACTGTATAAGAAGAAAGTGCTAAAAATAGATAAATCATTTCATCAATCTTAGTATAAAAAATAGATACTCCACTTCATATGAGATAGAGTTATTAATGATAATTAGTCAGAAAAAAAAAAAAAAAAAATCTCCAATCTCAAGTCACATGCTAAACATGTGGTAAATTGTCAAAAATAATAATTCCTCTGTTCTTTTTTACTTTACCTATTTCTTTTACCACGCTGGCCAATGCAAAATTTTAATGACTAATAACTTTAATTCTCTATAAGTAAAAATTATAAAAGTTATATATTATGATAGTATTTATTGAGATGAATTCAAAAAAATCTCACATGAATATGTTTTTCCTTACATATTATTCACAAAAGACGGTCAAAAGAGGGGTGGTGAATAGCGTAAAAGTCAAAGCGGGTCAAGTAAAAAAGAACGGAGGAAGTACAAACTTTCACCCATCCGCTAAAAATAAGTCGAACTTTCGATTTTTTTCTAAATAATACAAACTTTGGAAGGTATCCGCTTTAAACAAGTTATGACCGGTTAATTACTTGACTAATAGGTAAATGAGACACGTGTCATTGTTTTATTAGTTTCATAATTTAGTTTAAATTTTGTTATTTATTTAATGTTTTTATTTTTAAAAAATTTAAATTTTATGATTATTATTTAATAAAAAAAAACCTCCCCACCAGCCACCCCTTCCCCTCCCTGTCTATCCCCTTCCCCGGTGGCGCCCAACCCTCCAGCGAACCTCTGTCGGCGCCTCAACCCCCTCCGATCCCTCGCGCCAGTGACCCCACTTTCGACATCCCCACCCCTCCCCCTCCCTTCCCAACTCCCACCCACCACAAAAACCCACGAAATTCCTCTCCCTCCCATAAGAAAACCCACGAAAACCTCAAATTTCCCCTTCGCCAACCGCCGAATTGAAACCCTATCGGTTAGAATTTTCGAGGCAGGGCGAAAGGGCAATTAGGGGTTTTCATAGGGCGGGAGAGAGTTTTCGTGGAGAGGGAGAGAGATTCGGGGAATTGAAGGGAATGAAGGGGAGGGTTGGGGATGGTGGAAATGAGGTCGTCGGCGCGAGGGAGGGGGTTGAGGCGCTGACAGAGGAATGTCGGAGGGCCGGGCGTCGCCGGTGAAGGAGATGGGCAGAGAGTGGTGGTTGGCGGTGGGAAGGAGGAGTGGTTTTTTTTTTTTTTTTTTGTTAATTAACTATGGTTTAAGTGTTAATTATGAGCTAATTAAATTGTTAAATTAATTTATTAAAAAAAAAAAAAGTTTACTGGTCGTTTAGGTTGTAACTAAAATGTCTCGTTTAAAGTGGATACCCTCCAAAGTTTATATTATTTAGAAAGAATTGAAAGTTCGACTTGTTTTTAACGGATGAGTGAAAGTTTGTATTATTTTTGACAATTTTTCCTTTTTTATTAATCATGCCTTAAATGTTAAATTGGAGGAACTGATTATTAACTAAATCCACCAGTGAGCTTATGACAATTGCAATTACTTGATTAACCAAGAGAAAAATTAACCACCAAAAAAAGGTTACTTCCTCCATCTCAAGTTCTATATATACTTGTATGTGGCTGCCAAATTATTAGTCGATGATGTGGCCAGTTTAAAGACAATTAAATGAGTAGTGAAGTTTACAAGAATTACAACTATGATCAAATGAGGTTATATTGACATATAAGGGGTTTCTTTAACGGAAAAATGGTGATACTCTTACAATTATGTGGAATTATTCTCTTAATTGTCAAAACAAAAGAAAACACTTTACTCAAATGAACAAATAAAATTATTTTTAGTAAAGTAAAATCTTTTTGCTGAACTTAAATCATTTTTACTAATCTGAAATTAATTTTACTGAATTGAAATTATTTTTGCTGAACTGAAGTTATTTTTTACTGATTCTCTGATATATTTCTTCTTTATATTTACTGATTTTTACTAAAGTGAAATTATTTTTACTAAATTGAATGTATTTTTACTGAATTGAATGTATTTTTACTGAACTGAATTTTTTTAAGTTGAAATGAACAGGGCCTTATAATGAATTGAAATCACTCTTATAGATAAAATAAGATTACATTAATAAATTTATTAAATTAATCATATAAAACAATGAAAGTTACTCTTATAAATAAATGTAGGCTATAACCCCACCATGTTACTGGCCACGCAGTCACGTGCTGATAATTTTCCCAATGTCCCGGCACAACAAGTCCCATACGAGCAACCTCCTTATGCTTGTGTGCCAAACTGATGCATATGTTTGTGGCGCTGGTCAATGTCATTGCATGTTGTTTCCTCTAATTATTAGCTTGTTGTACGTATGGGAAAGTTGGCCTGGATCAAGCCTCGAGAATTCAAGTGCCACAAGGGCGATTTGTGCTTGTCCCGTGACAGCATGCTAGGGCTGAGCAAAACTACCCGAAAAACCGAAAACCCGAAAACCCGATCCATAACCGTTCCAAAATTAGGGTATCCGATTCGATAACCATAACGATTTGGTTACCCGTTTCGATAATTTTTTATTGGGTATGGTTATTGGGTATCGTTAAAAATTAACGATTACCCGATCCGATAAGCAATTTTTTGTTTTTTTTTTCCTACTTAAATCTATTTTTCCAAAATCTAAACTCTTACTTTACTTCATAATCACTTTATAATATCAATGATTGGTAATATTATTAATAATTTGGTCAAGATCATGTGGTATTGTTGTTGATTAGTGTTAAATAATATCATAATAACTACTCCATCCGTTTTGCATTAGTTGCAACACTTTTCATTTTCGGCCGTTTCATATTAATTGCAACACTACTATATTTGGAAAGGACCCACCATTATTTTATAATTTCTCTCTCCCACTAACCCCACTTTCATAAATATTTTATTATTTCTATCTCTTATTAACAATACTTTATATTATAAGCCTATAAGCCTAGTCTATAACTTAGTCCGTATACCCCAACTTATCGATTCGGTTTATGAATATCACTTTTAGTGATATCGGTTATCGATTACTCGAATTGTTAGTACTAACCATACCAGTACCCGTCCTATGCTCACCCCAGAGTGCACATAATATTTATTGGGGCCATTGCAAAATAACTTCTATTTACATCTATGTCTAACTTCTTTTTTCAAAGGCCAAACTATATGGTGACGAGTTTGATGACACAAAAGTCAAGATTTGTGATTACTCTAAAAAAGGAAGAATTTAACACCGACCTGCTGTCTTAATAAACTGGAACCAAAATAATTTATTTCTGTAAAATGCTGGTATCACTAGGACCCTACGTATGATCAATGCCCAACTGAGATAGTCAGGCTTTGCCCAGCTACACCACCAAAAGAAATCAGCAAGAGAGATGTTGCATGGAACAAGTTAGTCCACGGCTAATTAGATATGTCCAACATAGATCTGTCAAACATCTTCGGATTTCGGACATCAATAAACAATCAAACTGAATTCTCTTGCCTATACAACGGGGGGTTGGATCGTCGACACCACAACTAAGAAGGCTTTGCTTCGCTTGCTTGTTCATTCTAACCCAAGGCCTTGTTCAATGGAAATCATGTCAATATATGATGTGCTCAAGGGTGAAAGCTCCTCAAGAAAAATATGTGCTGATATAAAAAAGAAAAGCATGTAAACAATGTTGGGCGGTATCACAAGAAATTAATCAGCATTAATAACTGCACACACTCTCTCTGTCCCACTAAAATTGCTTCATTTGACCATTATATGTGGGAGCTTCTAAGGTCAAATAGGACAATCTTAATTGGACGGGGAAGTATATAACATATAGAACAGTATCATAGGCCATCATTTTTATCCAATCACATCTTGCAAGACGCTGCTAATGGTAAGTTAATCAAATGTGCCTCAGCCTGCAATATACACACACAACATGCTATTATCTCGGAAACACGGCCTTTCTCTGAGAAACCCCTTTGCAGTGAAGTAAAATGCACAATATATCGACTTGTAAAATGTTTCAGAGTAAAATTAACTTCAGTAGACAAATACCGGCTCCGAAAAAGTCCATCCCGAGTTATAGTTGTATACTGATCCATCAATGGGCAGTGTAATATCTTCAGGTTGGCTGCATAAATGAAGTCCACCAACCTGAAGATATTGGCAACAGATATTTATATTCATGTACAAGCCTTGAACTTTAACACTTCATCTCAGAACAATGCATAGCTATCAACATCCAGTCAAACAACACATATTCCCACTTTTAGGCATAGATATAAAGTTTATGCTTCCATGTTTTAGGCTCAGAAGGCCAAGATTGTTTCTCACAAACGCAAGATCCTCCACTCTTTCCACTCCCATCTTTTTCACAGTTTCTCGACATGGAAGGCTGTCACATTGACCACTATCTCTACACAGCGACACACTAGAAACCTGGCTCAGCACCTTTATGGCTAAAGTCTGCAAGTGGGGTGTCTCAAAACCAAAATTCTCCCACCAAGCAACTGGGTCCATCTTATCTCTACATTCGACAGCATCTTCCTCTCCGAATGATCCCTCGGATCTCCAATAAACACTAAGTTGTTCTCTTAGTAAACGCCTTGTAGCACTTTCGTGCTCATATCGTTCTAGAGTGGCCTTCCATCCCCGCATAACAGTTTTATCCTTGCTCTGACCTCTCCCAAAATATTTTGGGTTCAGCATGTAGCCGGCTGCATGGAGGGGGGAAAATAGCATATCCCATCTGCTCTCTATCAGTAACTCCATTTGACTAAGTGCAATGTCATCAATGCCCCTGCTCCTCACAGCTTCAAGTGACTGAACCCGCCAGTTGTACACATCCCCCATGACAGATTTGTCGATATTGAACGTAGCAAGTAGTCTAACAAAAGGTTCACTAAGCTGCAACATCAGCTGAGCCCTAGCCCAGAATTCGTCCCCTAACACAGTGGCTTCTGTATTGACAACATCACATAAATCAGTAACCTTCCATTGTTTCCACTCAATGCTCATGACTAAATCTTGCAATTCTTCCTTCATCTGAAAAATTCTTTGGACCAAACAGAATGAAGGTGCAAACTTCAAAGACAGAGAATCAGAAATCTCCATTGAATTGTACAAAAGACAAGACGAATATCGTTGGTAAGATGAAATAACTTGCTCAATTCCTCTAGCACACAAAACAACAGCTTTCATCCAGTCCAATTCAGCAATCGCTTCCATAAGAAGATGGATAGAATGTGAAGTGCAATGGGACCAAAATATATGAGGAAACTTTAATAATATAACAGATTCAAAAGCACTACTTGCCTGGCCAAGGTGGGTGATTATTTGAATTACATTTCTGGGCCCAATTTCTACTATTGCATCACTGAGTACATTGATGAATAAATTGTCAGCTTCATCCCCTTCATTTATATCAATTGATTTCAGAAACATAACACCCCTTGGGCTCGCAATGAAGAAGTTAATACAAAAGCATCCAAGGGATCCATCAACACGATTGACACATATAATTGTGCATCCTGTGTGAGGCCAGGACTCCCTGACTAAGGTTATGGCTTTTTCCAGCTTTGCTTTTTCTTTAATTAGACAGGTATCCGACAGCATATGTTTAGAGGGGAGTTCATATCCAGGACCATAAGCTGCAACTGCTCGGATCATTTCTCGAAAGTATGGGGAGTTCACTACATTCATGTTCAATCCATCAGCATAAAAAAATCTGGCTACAGTCTCATCTACATCCTCTTTAGCAAGAGTTCTAATCGGGCTAGCGAAATTCAATTGGCAATTCTTCATGCGCTTACCAATCTTTGCACTAAGAGGATTTTTTTTCTTTTTCCTGTGAAGGCGTTCCTCTTCTAATATCCGGAATTCTTCTCTTAAAGATTTGTCGATTGCTGGACAACTTTTCACGCCAACACCAGTGAATCCAAGAAGATGGGCCCTCACACGTGAATAGGAACCATTGTATCTTACATTACAATGATTGCATTTCCATCTTTTTGTACCACTACCTTTATCAAATCCACCAAACACACTAACATGTTTCCAACCCCATTTATCAGTCTCAGTAGGCATGTTTACTCATAGAAAAAACAGTTGTGGCAAGTGGACAACGAAGGACACAAATGCAGATCTACAAAGATGAAACAGAAATATATGGTGAAATATTTATGCAACTGAATCACAGGGGAAAATCTAAAAAGTTCTTAAAGTTGCGCAGCCATATGACTGACAACAGATGCACTAAATTAAAAACCTTTATTATGTAATCAATCTACATTGAAGGCAACTAATCTTCTGATCAAGCAATGCACAATAAAACAAAATTAATCATTGACCATATTGAGGCTATGCCATTCAATATGCTTTCTCATTATCAAGTGACAATATAAATGAGACATACTCTGATTAATGCTTGTATGGGCAACTATCTATTATCATTACCAAATCAAAGCCATAGTCACGACATGAAAGATATCTAGTATTGCCATTTCATCTTAATCACCAAAACTAAACTTTAAACTTCCTTGGTAAAAAGAAAAAGCATGTAATTGAATTTAATGAATTACTAAGATGACACCAGTTTAAAGAAAGTCCACGTTTGAAATCAACCAACAAGTTTTAGGTTGGTAGCGAAAATGAGTTTCAATCATTTAGTTCAGAAAGACGGAGATCATTAGTCAGTGATGAGGTATAGAATTTAGAGGCCAAAGTAAAGTAATTTACTACACACAATCATGAATCATTTACTCCCAACAGCAGCAATAGTAGTCAAATTGCAAGGTCAAAAATGTATTGAGCATCTAAAAAAAGTTTAAAAAAATTCAATGGTAAATCCTAAAATATGTCATGAGGAATATCTTATGTTCTTACGATAACCAAGAAGTATCTGTGAGATACATCATGAAAAATTCATCAACTTTTATAATAAAACCCACTATTGGATGCAGCTAATTCTCCATGTCCTTATTTAAATTCCAAGGCAAAGAAGTGTAATACTATGTATTCAATGTGCTAGCAGGAAAAGAAAAAAAAGGGGGAAAATAAGAAGAAAAAGTTGTTTGTTGAAACTGACAAAAGATACACACAATACAAGCAATCATGCTTCTTTTCACCAATATATCAAAAGCAGCCACAATCACAGTGAAATACCAAGAGTACCAAGCATTATCAGAGTGCCTTAGACAAGTAACTGAATCCTGATCAACAATTGCCCATCCCAACTTTCTCGCAAGCCAGATCTTAAAACAGTAAAGGCTTTAACAACACAGTTTCAGGTTGCTCTTTTACACCCCCAGTCATACTCGTAAAAACAGCAATACTTCACACACACACCCAAGCACATTGATTTGGTCTTTATAGTTTTGATGATTCAAAAAAAAGTGTCCATCAATCAAAGCCTTAATCCCATAAGTGGGGTCGGCTACATGAACCAAAAGTGATTATTCCGTATAGTCATCCATAAAAATCTTCCTCTTCATTCAGAAAAAAGTACAATAACTCAAATCAGCAAAATTCACCATCAACTCAAGCCACAACAATAGCCTATCACCATTAGCTGCTTTAATATAGGTAAGAACTTAATGCAGGTATGCCTATAACTAGTGATAGGCTAACCCACAAACCATCTTCGAAACAAAATAATCTATTTGTCATCCCTCACCAATTGCTTGATTTAAAGTTCAAACATGTTTGACCACTTTTTATTCATTTTTAAGAAAATAGAAGTTAGTGAAGTTAATCTAACCCCATTACAACAACACAACATAGCCAAAACAAGTCAATAGCCACTACCAATCCAATATAAAGCCTTATAGACATTAATTTAACTAAACCATACTATACTATCATTGAACATGTGAAAACTCAACATAAATCACTTTGTTAATCTAAATTTGTTATAGGATGATCAAAGAACATAAAAGCTCTCCACTCCAACCATTTGAAAAAGTCCATGTCAATATCCAAAATCCACTGCAATCCAAATATAGAGTCCTATAGACATCAAATTAATCTAACTATATCATCATTCCAAGTTTGGAAACACAACTTTATATCACTATGTTAACCCATATTTGTTGTCACATAAAATGATCAAAGATCATAAGAGCTCTCCACTACACCCGTTTGAGAAAATCGATATTGATATCCGAGATTGATCAATTTCACACACATGAACAATAGAGCAGCTAACCATATAACAAATACAATAATCAAAACCATAAACATCATAAATCAAATTACAACGTTCCAACAGTTCCACAATTTTTTTTTTTCCTAAATACCCAATTCAACAACACCGTAAATAATCAAAACCCAAATAAAATAAATATACTTTTAAATCCATTTGACTTCAACAAAGATCATATGGTAAAATTATAATAATAAAAACAAACAACAAATAATTGTATTAATATTATTAATAATTTGTGCGATCATCAAAACAACAATCACAGATAAGATAGAGTAAATCCCAAAATAATTGATCGAAAAAGGGGGAAGAAATAAAAAAGATTAAGTGGGGTTTAAATTAAAATACCTGATAGAGTGGGAGATAAAAGGGCCGAAACATTTGAAGAAAGATCGAAACCTTTACGTTTCGTTTAAGATTAAAACGAAACCTGAAACCCTTCAATTTTGAAAAGACGGATAACAATCAACAATTTGTGAAAAATATCAAAGTCGACGACTTTGGAGTTAAATGGATCCGAAACGGGTTTCTCGTTTTTTTTTTTAAAATATTTTATTTTAATATTATTAAAAAAATTTACCCCTTTATTTCATGCTTACAAGTTACAACATTTTTTTTAGCACAAGTGAAAAAACAGCATTTTTTTTTTTCGTTTTAAAAAAAAAAAAAAAAATTAATTTGTACTTGATGTTGTACGTTTTTTTTGGCAAATGAGTTCAGTTTTGTTACTTGTTGTGCTGAGCTTGACCTTGAAAACAAATTGTTTGCCAACACAATGCTCCAATCGTTGCATCACCTTTTCTTTGTCGTTTTCCTACATATTGTATATGGTCATCTAGTTTAAAGGCATTATATTGTAGTTGTTGTTAGTAAGTTGTAAGAGTCGTACCTTTTTCTCAAGTTCCATTAATTTGTGGACCGGACTTCCCACATTTTTTTCAGCCTCCTTGTCGAACAAAGCCATTGAAATACATGCACTTCCATCGTCTATGTCAATAGTTAAGAGGTATCTGCGAGTTGTGTTGGTTGGAAAAATGCAAGAATATTTTTTCTTTTTCTTTATAAAAGAGTGAGTAGTTGATATTCTAATGTACCTTGTCTTAGGGTATTTGACTATATCGTCGCAGTTTGTTTAGTAAAAAGTCTCATCTATCTTTTTCTTACATGCAGCACAGGAGTTGTTATGCCATTTTTTTGTCAACGTGAATGCTTGTTACTGTTGCACTGTAAGTAAACATCTCCTACAATAACATAGTAGTTGGGCAGTATTTTCAGTTTTATTAAAGTGCCCTAGCTTTTTTTTTTTTTTTTTGTGTGTGTGTTTTTTTAGTGGCCCAAACATATTAACATTCGTTAAAGATTACGTGTCATGAAAATAAATTTACATGCAAAGTCAACATAAATTTCAATGAAGTTAACAAAAATTTCAATGCTGCTAAAAATATCATGTTTTAACATGTTTGCAAGAAGTAAACTTGGATTATGTTTTAACATATTTGCAAGATTTTTTTTTTTAACATGTTTTCAAGAAGTTACTTGGATTATGTGTGGCTTTAGCATAAAGCAGTAAGAAAATAAGTGGTAATGGTTTTCTTCTGTGAGGAGGGTGTGCCCGTCGTTGGGGATCCTCTTCCTTTATGCCCAAGGCCCTTTAAAGCCTAGGACTTTACACTTTTTAAAGGTGTGTTGAGATTTGAATCCCTGACTGTTTGGAGGACCTTGAATTAGAATTGATTCTATCATTACGCTTTTTTGTAAGAAACTAATAAGGAGTCGCCAATGAGTTTTATGAAAACTCATAAACCTCGTTCATGCCTTTCTCTCAAGTAGAGTTCAAGGAATATTTAGAATGAATCATAAATTTACCCATGCCCGGATTGGTCTACTGATAGCTTGTAATTTTGTATGATTTTAGAGTGATTTTGAGCCTTAGAATTGTGAGAAATCAATGCCTTAGTTCACTAATTACTCTATTTTTATGCATTTTTTGTGTATCATATGTTTCACAGGGTTGCTAGTGTTTTGGTGCATATTTAGGAATAAAAATGGCACTTTGAAGCTTTTGGACAAAGAATAAAAGAAGTTTGAGACATGAAGAGGAAATAAGGGAGCTATGGAAGAATGAAAGAAGCAAGGAAAAGTGTCCAAGAGTGAAATAAGAGCATTTGGAAGGGTTTTGGAAGGATTTTTGCACTAAGGTCAACTTCAAATGACCATAACTTTTTTTTCTACTCAACTTTTTGAAGTGATTCAAATTAGAGATTAAAGTTCATCTCAAGAGCTTTCCAACGACTGGCCACGTCTTATTCCGATGAGTAATTAAGAAGTTATGACCTTCCAAAACGAAGTTGTTTCGCTAGAAAAAGCTGCACGCCCGTGCCAAAAAGTTGCACGTCCATGCAAAGACCTGCACATTCGTGCCAAGTGATGCACGTTCGTGCAAGGTCAGGAAGTAGCTATTGTTCTCATTTTAACAGGTATGCACGTCCGTGCAACCTTCGGCATGTCCGTGCCGACCTGTAGACGGGCCAATTCTTGTTTTCTCCGTCCTTTTACTTGGGGGTTATATAATATCCCTTTAGCTTCATTTGTAGGCGAGATCTTCTTCTCCCTTAGTCTTCTTAGGCTCTTTCTCTTAATTAACAATGTAGATCTTCAATTGATTAGTTATTTTAGCTTAGAATCTCTTAAACTCAAGCATTGTAGAAGATAATTTCAAGCTTCATTCTCTCAACTTCAACATTTCTCCTTAACTTTGAAGCTTCAAGTAGTAATCTCTTACTCTCTTCTCTTCTTATTTTCTGTTTTTTTTTATATGGTTATGTGAATCTTAATTTTCTCTTAATCCTTGTTGATTGTTCTTGCATGCTCAATGTTAGAATGTTACTCTTATCCATGATTTGTGAGTAGTTACTTAGCTAAGGATTAGGTGAAAACCCAACTAAGCCATGGGTTGATTAATTTTGAGATGTTTTCGTTTTCTATTAGGTTTGAAGATTGTTTGCTCATGAGATTGTTTGCATGTGTATTTTGGTGGCCAACTTTATACTCATGTACTTCACTTCCTATACTTGCATTGAGAAATGGAGTTGGATTGTGAGTCTTCTCTTGTGTGGTTAGATTATACTCCTTTCATGAATGTGGTTGCCTTGTTTCAATGATTAGGATGCTTTAGTGTAGTAATTTTGGTGAGCAATCCCAATTATTTGTGCTTCATGCTATCTCGAAGCAATCGAAAGACAAACTCGAGTTAGAAACCCACTTCCTATCATTGAGACTTCATTTCTTATCATGTTAGTTGTTTGGTCTAGGAAATTCTTAGTGTTGTGGCTTTGAAAAAAGGAAACATTGAGTTCCCATTCTATCACCCATGTATGTTCATGATTTATCCTTGTTATCGATTATTTGATTTAATTATCACTAGTTAAACTAAGATAAAAACAATTAAAAGTTAAAACTAAATCATTTTTTCCCCTGAACATCAATTCTTTGGACCGCATAATCATTTCTTTCTCCTGCTTCTCCAATTTCTCATGTAAAGCAATTCGGGAACACTTCGTGAAGCATCTTCTTCAGCTTCAGTATCCACTTCTAGCACTTTTTACTCATATCTAATTGATCTAAATCCCCTGATAAACAAAACACACAAACAATTCAAAATAGGATTATAGAAGAATCGAGCACTAAAAAAAAAAAAAAAGGAACTTGATGTTTGTTTTTTCCCCCTGAAATGTAATAGTTTGAATATTAACATGAATGGTAACAAGGTCATACTTCAAATAAAGTAAAACAAAGACTTTTATATATAACCAACCAATTAAATCAGACAACACTAGTAGAAAAAAAGAAATAGGCAACCCCCCTATGGCAACGGTTCATGAAAACCGTTGCCAACTTAAGTGAGCGCCATTTAAAATATCAGAATTGGCAACGGTTAACCGTTGCCAATTTTTTTTTTTTTTTTTTTAAAAATATTGATTAACATTGGCAACGATTAACCGTTGCCAACTGCGTTTTTTTTTAAAAAAAATAATAAAATAAAAGGTTCATGAATGGCAACGGTTAACCGTTGCTAATTTTCAAAAAAAAATTGCGGGTTTTGTCACTGTTCATCAACGTCTTCAATTCATTCAATTGCAAAAAAAAAGGTTCTGCGTTTTCCCTCCTCCTTCCTCATTCAACTTGCTCCCCTCTTTCTCCATTGAAGTGGCCTGGTGTGAGGTACGAACCTCCATTGAAGAGCTAGCTGTGCGAACTTGCTCCCCTCCTTCTGCGTTTTCCCTGCTCCTTCCTCATTCCTTCAATTCTTGGTGTCTTCAATTCCCACGCAATCCCTCTTCTCTTCTCCCTCCATCTCCATTGAAGGGCTATGCGAGCTTTCTCACCTCCATTGAAGGGCTGTGTGAGCTTTCTCACCTCCATTGAAGCAGCTTCAAGGTAAGTAGCTAGAAAATTAGGTCTTTGTGTGTATTTTATTTGGGTTTCTTGTTTTTTGAATTACTATGCTGATTTGAGCTTGCATTGTGATATTCAATAATGTTTTGGGTTATTCTTTGTTGGCTTTTGCATAGATTGTTACCACCAAGGTTGAATTTACAATTAATTAAGTTCAAGTAAGTTAAGGTTAGTTTAGATAACTGAAGAATTATAGGTTAGTTTAGATAAGTGAAGAATTATAGTTTAGTTTAGGCTAATTTACAATTAATTATAGTCCCTTATTAGTTCAATTAATGGATGTATACATACTTACTAACTCTTAATGTGTTTTTTGTCTTTGCGTTTTTATAGGTTCATATGTGAATTGAAGTTCAAGCTAGTTAAGTTTGAAGACTACACATTAATTAAGCTCAAGTGGGAAGTTAGAAAGAATACATCCATTGTGTTGGTATGAATTATAAACTTCTCTAAGCTATAAATATTACTTTCTCTCTATTATTGTTTTAATAAAAGTTTTTTCATGCTAGATATTAGATTTGTGTATTATATAATGACAAACTAAATACAACAATAAATATATGAAATGTTTGCATTGCATCATCATGTGCCTAGATACCCGTTCAAGGCTTTCTCATTAGGAGAAAGTCTTGAATAGTCCCCGGTTGGGACTGTTCTTGAACGCTTACTCTCACTTAGGTGGTGAATGTATGTCTTTTTTTTTCGATTTTAAGGAACATCTTGGCTTACCATTTCCTCGATCACCATGTTCTCTGGGTACATATGTGGCTAAGTAATTACCTACGTCGTGTACTTGGAGAACTGGGGGGAAATGCTGCCGGATTTTCCTTAAAATTGGAAAATTGACATACATTCACTAGTGAGAGTAAACGTTCAAGGATAGGTTAGGTTGGAGTGATAAGGACCCTTTAGAAGCATATATTCATTTGTGTATGTATATGAAAGTTATATGCATGGTGTGTGTTTGAATTTGATTTATATATATAGTAGATGTAGCAATTATACATTATCATTCGTAATATATTGCCATGTTTAGAGACAATTTACTTAATGGAGAAGGATCGTGGATGGATGTATGG